TTATAATAAAATATAATACATAATTCCATGCCGGAAGCAGATAAATTTTTTAACTGTTCCCAAAAGAAAAATAAATCGCGCTCGCTCTCTTTTAAATAATTCAACATTCTCGTCATCAACAACAATAAACATTGAATCACAACAACAACAACCAGTCTCCTTGTGCTAGTCGCTATCAGCATTTTCTATAACATCAAAAACAAAGCCAATTCAAGTTAATTAACAATATGAATACGCAATCCAAAGGATATCGCACGGGCGAAGGTAAGACAGAAATGCCATAAATGAGCAACAATTTATGTAATAAGAGTGAATGTTAGTACATTTCTGATTGGAATATGTTAAGAGATTGTTAAGTAACATACGTTACTGCTGTTAAATAGCATGTTCTGAACATATATTAATTGCAATTGGGAACTTTAACATAAGAGAGTCTGATAAGTAAGGCTGTAAGAGGCTGTTTCTTCTATTAATAGACAGCTGTTAAGCAACTAGAGTGCTGTTAATATTAACATAAATAGCGCTAATTTATGGTTTTTGGGCATATGATATAAAGGAAGAAAAAGCTCGGAAAAAAGGTCTACATATTGAATTATACTAACTAACTTAGACATACTTAAATAATATTTATTAATCCCTCAATTCAATCTTTTCCTCTCCCTCTCCATGGTTTTGTAGAAATTTACGATAATATGCAGTGCTTTGACATTACTGCCATACGCAACTTGAACATACCTACAACTTTTCCGACCATTGGCACCTTTACGTTGGACTCCACCACGTTGGGCTTGCAGCCGTCTCATGGACCGCCAGCAGCGGCCGTACAACTGGCCATGGCACCGCAGCAGCAGAGTATGCACCATCATCAGCAGCATATGCAACAACAACAGCAGCAGCAACACATTCAGCAACAGCAGCAGCAACAACATCAACAACAGCAGCAGCAACAACATCCCAGCATTGGAATGTTCGATGCTAATGAGGTCAACGATATCATTCAGAATCCACCACAAATTGGCGTCTTTCAATCGAACAGCGTGTTGAACAACGGCGCTGGCAGCTCATCGTCCATATTTGGATCGCAGTCAAGCAACTCGTCGGCCACGGCCTCTGGGGCAAACGATCCAAATCAAACAACTCGAGAAACTGGCATCATTGAGAAGCTACTGGTGGGTCTATCAATCGAGCAGTAATATCTGTATTATGGGCAATTTAAAGATCATATATCTAACCATCGAATGTGTTTTCAATTTGAAATTTTCAGCACTCTTATGGTTTTATTCAGTGCTGCGAACGGCAGGCACGCCTCTTCTTTCATTTCTCGCAGTTCACTGGCAACATTGATCATTTGAAGATCGGTGATCCAGTTGAGTTTGAGATGACCTATGATCGCCGCACCGGCAAACCGATTGCTAGTCAAGTCTCGAAGATAGCGCCCGAGGTAGTGCTCTCCGAGGAGCGGGTCACCGGCACGGTGACCACCGAACTGCGCACCGACAGCGCCAACAATGTGCTTAGCTCCAGTGAGACAACCGGACGGATTAGCTATGAGAATCGCGGCGAATGCTTCTTTTTACCCTATACCAAAGACGATGTTGAGGGCAATGTCAATTTGCGTGCTGGCGATAAAGTCAGCTTTCAGATCGCTACGAACCAAAGGTTAACAATTATATATCATCAATATAAACATAGCTATATCTAATTATTATCTATTCGCAGAGGCAACCTGGGCGCCTGCCATATACGCCTGGAGAATCCGGCCCAGCCCGTTAAGTATCGCGGCGTTGTCTGCTCAATGAAGGAATCGTTTGGTTTTATTGAACGCGCCGATGTTGTTAAAGAGATTTTCTTTCACTTCTCCGAGGCTGAGGGCAATGTGGAGCTGCGTCCCGGTGACGATGTCGAGTTTACCATTCAAACGCGAAGTGTAAGTAGAGCTGATAATTCATTTGTGACAGCAATTCATATCGCACTAACCAAAGCAGTCCGCCACTGTGCCGCCTCAGGGCCGGGAGTTTGCGTGCAACATCACACGCTTGCCGCCCGGCTCGGTCATCTTCGAGGATGTCGACAGCACCATCTACAAGGGTCAAGTGCTCAAATCGCTGGATCGTAATAATGCAACGCGTCAGAACAATGATCCGTTGCCAGGACGCATACGTTATCGTGCGCCCGATTACTCAGAGGTGGAGGTGCCATTTGGCGATAAGGATCAGAAGGGCGACTTCACTTTGCGTCACGGCGATTGGGTGCAATTCCTGTTGGCCACTGATAGGCGGGATCAGTTGCAGCGTGCCACCTCGATAGCGCTGCTGGACGAGACGTTCAAGGTGTCCGGCGAAAAGCGTGAGCAGGGCATCATTGCCTCGCTGAAGGAGGGCTTTGGCTTCTTGCGCTGCGTAGATCGTCAAGTGCGGTTGTTTTTCCACTTTACTGAGGTGCTCGATACGGTAAGCATCAATGGCTAATTTAATTGGAGCTCTAATTCAATAATACATCTCATTCACAGAGCCGAGAAATTGATGTCAATGATGAGGTGGAGTTTACTGTCATTCAAGAACCCGGCCTGGCCTACAATAATTCCCGTCTGCAGGCCATACGCATTAAACATTTGCCGCCCAATACTGTGCAATTCGAAACCCTAATGGCCAGCAACATTGAGGGTATCTAGCCTTATATATATATATGCAATAATTGGTTGTTTAACTTTTGCTATGCATTGCAGGCACCGTAACACGCGAGGCGCCCAAAAGTCCCATTAAATCTCAGGATCGCTTCGAGGGTGGTGTCATCACCTATGAGCATAGCGATGTTAAAAAGACTATTATGTATTTTCTCAAAGACTGCGAAAAACCACCAAGAGTTGGCGAGCGTGTGCGCTTCGATATTTACATGGTTGGTTATAGTTAATATCTCTTTTAAATACAATCTAATTTCGTATTCCTCTTAAATGTTGGCAGGTCAAACGTAACAAGGAATTTATAGCAGTCAATGTGCAGCAGGTGTCGCTGCAACAGCAGCAGCAACAACAACAACAACAGCAGCAACAACTTTTAAATCAGCAAACAGCAGCAGCACAACAACAGTCCGCTGTCAATTTAAATCAGAACGATCAACTGCAGCTCTCGAACGGCATTGGCTCGAATACTGGTGCCATACAGAATGGCTATATGATGCATGGCAGCCCTGGTGGCGGCAGCAGCAGCAACAGYAGCGTGGGCAGCAATGCAACCACTCAACAAATTAGCACTCCACAAATTGAGGACTTTAAGCTGGAGAATAATAATCATGCCAATGCGGAGGCAGCTACCGGGCAGTTGTATCGCGGCTTTATAGCCGTTATTAAGGAGAATTTTGGTTTTATCGAGACATTGTCACACGACGAGGAGGTTTTCTTTCACTTTAGCAACTATCAGGGCAATCCCAATTGGCTAGAACTGGGTCAGGAGGTGGAGTATACACTGGCGCCCAATGGCAATACATCCGTGTCGGGCAATTGTCTGCCCGCCGAGAATGTGCGCACATTGCCCAAAAATTCGATACCACAGCCGGCAGTGCTGGAGACGGTGCACAATGGCGTGGTGGCGCGTCCATTACGTTGCATCAATCCGGATCAGCAGGAGTACGCTGGCCTAATTGAGATACTGGATGAGCAACGCACCACCATCATATCGCAGCATGAATTTGGCATCACCAGCCTGGTGAACAAACGTGATCTGTTGCAGAAGGGCGATCTGGTCAGCTTTCGCATCGATGAGAGTGGCAGGGCGGCAGAGGTGAATGCAGTGCGGCAAAAGAAACGCGCCACAGTGGACTCGATCAAAGGACAATTTGGTTTTCTCAATTTCGAGGTGGAGGATGGTAAGAAGCTATTCTTTCACATGTCCGAGGTGCAGGGCAATACGGTGGCTCTACATCCTGGCGATACTGTTGAATTCTCAGTGGTTACCAATCAGGTACGCACGACAATCGTACATTAATTAAATTTCAAATTTATTAAACTCATTTTGTTTATATCATTTAGCGCAATGGTAAATCTTCGGCTTGCAATGTTTTGAAAATAAACGATCGTCCCGATCGTCTGATCTCGCGCCTTAAGCTCAATGGCGATGACGGTGTGCCACGTTTGATACTAACACGCGCACCCAAGGGGCCGCAGGGCAAGGGCTTCTCTATACTCGCGCGCCATCCACGCATTCCAGGTGAGTGCTCAGTGATGAATTACCTTTAGAATGAACCATACTAAATGATATGATTTGCTTGCAGGCGCTTTGGTAGAGTAATTCCAAAAGAAAATCTGATATTTGATGCAAATTTAAAGACAATGCATAGATACACACCCACATGCATGCATATACAACTATATATACTTATATCTATATAGCTATATATTTATATTTATATATTCTTGTACGCTACACAATACAAAACAAGAAGAATTAACCGTTCCCTAAACGCAACAGATGTGCACAGGATGGACTGCAACAAATAATAATTAAATAAATAAACAACAGTTATGCWAACTACAACAGACAACTACATTGTGAACCATATTAAGAACAAGCATACAATTTATTAAGTACATTAACTTAGATGCAAAACACTATTTGAAACGATAATAATAATTGATAGCAAAGCATATGGCATACAGAACACAATACATATATGTATAATTATGATGAATACTAAATGACAACTCCAAAAACAATTTCTACGTGTCTGATATATAT